CGAAACGCATCCATTTTGGCCATACAGCTACTTTTTTGGGAAAGTAGTGTATAGAAATACTGGTTTATGTGTATTATTCTTGTAGCTAACACTATTTGGCTCTCCGGCCTCGCAATACGTTCGTCTTTTCTTCTCGATTTCTCCTTTCTTCACCATAGTTGCAGACGTGTCTTCACAGTTTTCTACGTCGTAGTTATGTAACATGATCGTTTTGGCCGCGCGCTTTATTAGGACACTTTTTGGTCGCCAGATTGTTCTTTCAGTGCACAAAACAATGGTCAAGGAGAGCCCGCTAGGCGCTAAGTTCGCTTATTTCGAATTTTAAATACAGCATTAACCAGAAAATGCAAATGAAAAATTTCGTGTCATAAGCACTTTAAAAGAAGTAGTTGTAGTTTAAATCTGAGTTGATTCTAACTGTAAATTCGTCAGGTATCCGTTAAACGCTTCAAATCATTTTTGAAATCACGTTTTGAAATCATTCGTCATCTCACTTGAAAAAGGAAACAGAACTCTTTTAATAATTTAGAGACAAGCAGAAGGCAGGCGGGCAAGCCATTTTCAGCTTATAGAGACAAGCACAGGAATTTAACTAACGAGAAAGCTCTGACTTACTTTAGGTCCATGGTTCAATCGTGCAATGTTTACTTCGAGGAACACTGTGCGATCTATGGTAAAGTATGGTGTGTGCACCGCCTTTTACGCCAGCCGGTGTTGATTAAACTGACCTCAAAAAAGGTTTGAAACCAGCGGTGACCGATTGAAGTTGCTAATTGCTGATAAGCTATTTTAGAAACTCGTTGAGCCTTGAGGCGGTGACAACATCAAAGTAACATTGGGTAGGTGCAATGCTCGTCTATGTTTCGCAAATACTTGATAACAAACTCAATACAGGAATTTAATGAGATTCACTCAAACTGGCCGTATATAACACCACCGACAGAAACATTCTTCATGGTTTTTACTGGATATATTGGAAATAGTCGATGTGTCTGAGTTGTTTCTCTTTTCGGTCTTGTTTACCAAAGGGTGCGATAAAACGTTTCAGATTCAGTCAAGGATGGACCAAAACTTATGCTCCGTGCATACATTTCCACACTAATTTTTCCGGCGACCAAAGTTTCTAATTGCTTGATTGATGTAATTATTTTCCCATCATTGACTAAGCTTTGCTGGCTGATAGTCGTTAATGACCTAGAGGTTCGACTGTTTATAATAATCCTGCTTTTTCCCTTATGCGCCACCAATTTGTTGACGTTGTTTGCTTACGAAGGTTCGATGCATTTTTTAACGAGTTTTTAAATTAATTGTACATTTAGTGATCGGTCAGAGATAAGGCAAAAGGCAAAAATTGTTGGAGTATTCGAAGACATGACTGCTGTATCGCTAATCATAGATATTAGTAAAAACTTTTCCTCTCCATCAGCCTAAACTAATCATTTATACTGAAAATCAACTACGATCTTCGATTGTGAATATTCTTACTGTTCTTTTTTTTTTGTTCGTCCGTGCTTCTGAATAGTTCTTTATGATCTGTTTTGATAAGCATTACTCGCAGTTAAGCGAGGGCAATTATCTCTAAATCATTCATGGGTGGACCAGAACTTTTGCTCATTTCGAAAGCTAATCTTTTTTTTGTATTGCTCGCCATAATGTCTAATTTTTTATTACTGATAGTTGTTAATAGCATGCTAATTAACAGATGAGGGCGAGGACAAATTTCTCTTACTCATTCATGGATGGACCAAAACATCTGATGTTAGAGTATCATGGTCTGTTATGAACTATATCTGTACATCGTATCGAGTTGGACATTAATCATAAGCTCTCCAATTTGTCATCATTGTCAAACCATTCCGTTTACAATCTGAGAAATAATCGCTCCTACATGATGCCACGCGTCCATACGATTTTTCAATGGTCTGTCAAGCGAACGATGCTTAATGTATTTCAGAAGAATATAGAATGTTTTTTTAATTATTTTTGATCTTGAATTTCATGCAAAAACTGTATATGGAAATAATCTTTACTCAAAGTCTTTTTAAATGTTATCATTACAGGATTCATATAATTTAACGCTACTTTTGCATTATTTTATATCATAATATTGCAAATAATCACGTAATTCAGCCAACGGGCTGCGTTGTAATTTTTGATAAACTATCTCTCTATCCTAGATACAATAGTCGCTTATTTTTTTCCCAAAATAATTTGCTAAAACTGTCCTCTACCAGTCGAAGCTATACTTGAAGAAACATCCGTCTTAGTTTATAATGTGTTTAGAAATTGTCTATATCTATTATTCTATTAAGGCAAGTTTTCATGTTTTATAGGATATAATGTTATAGGAGCGAACCCTGCTAAGTTTCCTTCAACAAGGTTGCGTTCCTTGCTTCAGTCTTGAGAGGAGACAGAAAATCTCTTTAGATTCAGTCATGGATGGACGAGAACTTCTGCTAAATGCATAAATTTTCCATTTTTAGTCATCATCGGCACCCAAAGTTTCCTCAATGCTTCATTGATTTAATTTCGTTATTAACTATACCAATTTGTCTCTGCTGTACAATTCTTTCAGACCTCTTTCTGGGGACAAGTTTTCATATTATAGAGGATATAATGTTAGAGGAGCGAACCCTGATAAGTTTCCATCAAAAATGTTGCGTTCCTTGCTTCAGTCTTGAGAGGAGACAGAAAATCTCTTTAGATTCAGTCATGGATGGACAAGAACTTCTGCTAAATGCATAAATTTTCCATTTTTAGTCGTTATCGGCACACAAAGTTTCCTCAATGCTTGATTGATTTAATTTCGTTATTAAGCATACCAATTTGTCTCTTCTGTACAATTCTTTCAGATCTCTTTCTGGTGATAAGTTTTCGTATTATAGAGGATATAGTGTTACAGGAGCGAACCCTGCTAAGTTTCCATCAACAAGGTTGTGTTCCTTGCTTCAATCTTGAGAGGAGACAGAACATCTCTTTAGAGTCATTCATGGATGGACAAGAACTTCTGCTGAGTGCATAAATTTTCCATTTTTAGTCGCCATCGGCACCCAAAGTTTCCTCAATGCTTGATTGATTTAATTTCGTTATTAACTATACCAATTTATCTCTGCTGTATAATTCTTTCAGATCTCTTTCTGGGAACAAGTTTTCATATTATCCAGGATATAATGTTACAGGAGCGAACCCTGCTAAGTTTCCATCAACAAGGTTGCGTTCCTTGCTTCAATCTTGAGAGGAGACAGAAAATCTCTTTAGATTCAGTCATGGATGGACAAGAACTTCTGCTAAATGCATAAATTTTCCATTTTTAGTCGTTATCGGCACACAAAGTTTCCTCAATGCTTGATTGATTTAATTTCGTTATTAAGCATACCAATATGTCTCTTCTGTACAATTCTTTCAGATCCCTTTCTGGTGATAAGTTTTCGTATTATAGAGGATATAATGTTATAGGAACGAACCATGCTTAGTTTCCTTCAACAAAGTTGCGTTCGTTGCCTCATTCTTGAGAGGAGACGGAAATCTCTTCAGATGCAGTCATGGATGGACAAGAACTTCTGCTAAGTGCATAAATTTTCCATTTTTAGTCGCTATCGGCACCCAAAGTTTCCTCAATGCTTGATTGATTTAATTTCGTTCTTAAGTATACCGATTTGTCTCTGCTGTACAATTCTTTCAGACCTCTTTCTGGGGACAAGTTTTCATATTATAGAGGATATAATGTTATAGGAGCGAACCCTGATAAGTTTCCATTAACAAGGTTGCATTCCTTGCCTCAATCTTTAGAGGAGACGGAAAATTTCTCTTTCCATCAGGCTAGATTGTAGGCAAAATTCTTGATTATATTTTTTTTACTTTGTTGGATATTTTCTCATTTACATATTTCTTGCAGACGAAACAAATAATCTTGATTGTGATCATCATCACCTCAATTTTAATTACATAGATTTCCAGCAAGTAATTATTTTCCTTTTAGCCACATAAATGCTACTCGAAAAGGTATTCGTAAGTAATCTCTTTTCTCTTTTAAAAGTTATTTATCACTTTGGCAAAAAATTACGAGAGTAAATATCACTCAACCATTCATGGATGGACCAGAAGTTCTGCTAACTCCGACTGCTCACCCATATCATCTCTTTACATCGCTCGTCCTAATGTCTCATTTGTTATTACTAATAGTTGTTTCTGGCCTTGCTAACAGACGGGGCGAGGGAAAATTTCGCTTACTCATTCATGGATGGACCAAAACTTCTGCTCATGTCGAATGCTCACCCATATCTGCCTTTTGTCTCGTTGTTCCTTACCTCTGTCTAATCTGTTATCAATAGTTATTCACCGCTTTGCTAACAATTGGAGGCGGAGGCAAATTAATTGTACTCATTCATGGATGGACCCGAACTTCTGCTCATTTTGAATGCTCGCCCACATCTTCCTTTGATTTCATTCACCCCTGCCTAGCTTTTTATTATTAGTTTTATTAGCTTTGCTATCAGTTAGGGGCGAGGGTATATCTCTAAATCATTCTTGTATGGACCAGAACTTCTGCTCGTTTTGAATGCTCCTTCTTTTCTTCTCTTATTTCGTTAGCCCTTATCTCTTTCTTATTTGTCATTATTGGTTTTTAACAGCTTTTCTTAAAGTTGTAGGCGTGGCAAAGATCTCTTAATCATTCATGAATAGACCAGAACTTCTGCTGATTTCCTACCATATCTTCTCTTTTTTTTCACTTTTCCCAACCTGTCTGATTTTTTATTGGATCACATTGTAAATTTTTCTTTGCCTGGAGCTTCTCACGTCTCCAAGATCTTAATAAAATACCTCTGCCGTCATGCCAAACTTTGATTTTAATTTAGGCAATTGGCATGGTCATAGTACGAGTACCAAAGGAGCATCTGCCGATATTTACATTCAACTTTACTCTTTTGTCAACTGAGTGAAATTACATAAAGGCCCCACTCATCTCGTCATTATTTAATTGCACACACATTGAAACATGCTTTGTGTTCTTCCTTTATTTGTCCTTGATGACTATTATTACCTGTTCTTACAAATTTTAGTACAAGGTTATGATTGACATTAGTTCCATGCTTGCACTCATCAGAGAAGGTGAAACTGATGTTATTCAATTTTATTATTTATTCCATAGTCAGCTTTGTCAGGATAGTCGGCTTCCTTCGGGTACTCCTCTGGGTGGTCAGCTCTGTTTGGATAGTCGGCTTCCTTAGGGTACTCCTCTGGGTCGTCAGCTATGTAAGCGTAGTCGGCTTCCTTAGGGTACTCCTCTGGGTCGTCAGCTCTGTTTGGATAGTCGGCTTCCTTAGGGTACTCCTCTGGGTCGTCAGCTATGTAAGTGTAGTCGGCTTCGCTAGGGTAGTCAGCTTTGTTAGAATAGTCGGCTTCCTTAGGGTACTCCTCTGGATGGTCAGCTTTGTTTGGATAGTCGGCTTCCTTAGGGTACTCCTCTGGGTCGTCAGCTATGTAAGTGTAGTCGGCTTCGCTAGGGTAGTCAGCTTTGTTAGAATAGTCGGCTTCCTTAGGGTACTCCTCTGGGTTGTCAGCTTTGTTAGGGTAGTCAGCTTTGCTAGGGTTGTCAGCTTTGTTAGGATAGTCGGCTTCCTTAGGGTAGTCAGCTTCCTTAGGGTAGTCGGCTTCCTTAGGGTAGTCGGCTTCCTTAGGGTACTCCTCTGGGTAGTCAGCTTTGTTAGGGTAGTCGGCTTTGCCAGGGTAGTCAGCTTTGTTGGGAAAGTCGGCTTCCTTAGGGTACTCCTCTGAGTGGTCAGCTTTGTTAGGGTAGTCGGCTTTGCCAGGGTAGTCTGCTTTTCTTTTACTAGGGTAGTCGAATTTTGCTCCTAAAAAATGAGAGGATTAAAATTATGGGATCCATTCAACGTTTTAAAAGAAGTTAATCGTATTTTTCTTGATGTGAAAATTTCTCGAAAGAAAAAAAGACTTTCTGTCCATGTTTCTAATAAAGATTGCTCCCTATGCAGAACAGTCAGTTGTGTGTGTGTTTTTTTTTCATTTGAAATTTGAAATACTTAATTGGGAGTAAATGTCTAACCCATCAAATTGGGATAAAATGAATCGGAAACATCGTATGAACTTCCAATCGGGTAAGGGGAGTCGGCTTTAGTCTCCAAAAGATTGGATATGCATAGTAAAAGAAAACCTTCGATCCTAGTTTCTGAGGGAAACCGCTTCACTTTTAGAACAGTCATATGGTATTTTCTTTCAAACCAGAGTTAATATTTTCAAATTAATATAGGTAATTCACTCAATAATTCGCAAAGTTATGACTGAAGTTCTTACCAGCTCTCCTCACTTCAAGTTCCCTCCGCGTAGCAGGCCATGATTTCGCCACTGCCAAAGTGATTATTAACAGAGCGACGCACTTCATTTCCTTCAAAACGTTATCAAGAACAGAAATCAGAGCGTCCTCAATGCAGTTTGTTGACAGTTGACATTTCATTCTATATATATAATGGAAATACCCTCAACCCTTTAACTCTCATGGGTGATCAAGACAGAATTTCTCCTTACAATATCAATACAATATCAAGTGATGAGAACAAAGAAAATATCAATTAGGGGATTATTAGTTGATCCAATACCAAATTCTCCGAACTAACATTACAAGAACTATATGACAGACAGTAAGGAGAATAACTAATGAGATCTTGGCAATCAAAGAGTTAAAGGAAGCTGTACTATTCCCCTCATAATTTCAAAACACTGCGATTGAATGTCGTCACACCAGAACCAAAGCAATCACAACAAGCAGTCAGTTTGAAGAGGAAGACGCAACAAGGAACCGCTGAGAACTCAGACTGGGTTAAAACAAGCAAACTGCATAAAGTGCGAGAAACGCAAGTGACCAAATCGCGATTCTTTTCAAGTTTTGGATGCGATTGGTTTGAAAGAGGCACGAGTTTTCTGGCCAAATTATAGATCATATAAGATTAAAAACCAAAGCAATCCTGGATTACTTTTGGCACTCAATCGAAAATTGGTCGAATTGAATAGTGTTATCTTGGCATAGCTCCCGATTCTCCCGATCAAATGACGAGTGGCTAGAAGCACAAATTATCTTGGGAGTTCTGCCTGTCCTCACACTGATAGAGGGTATCGAGTGTTGGGGTTTACCCAGCACATCTTATGCCCCAAGTCTGTTCCCTTCTTTAATTTAAAAAAATGTCCCTTTTGAAAATACATTACAGACGGTCAGTGACGAAGGGATTTAGGACGCTTAAAAATAGCTTTACATAAGGAAACTTTCGATTATGTAAGGGAAAAGAAAAACATCAATACAAACAGGCTGGGCTGGGAAAAAATAACCGAAGTGAAGCTTTTGTCACAGATAAGAGCTGAGTAAGCGTAGCGAAGTGAATGTTCTCGAATGAAAATTTCTAATTTAAAGTTTTCGATCACGCGCTTAAAGGTTTTCTCATACTGATACTCTTAGATCGAACAACTACGTTCATTTAGTTAAGATTTACTCACAGAGATAAAAAGCCGAGGGTCGACGCCAACTTTTCCTCAATATCTGCGGAGAGCTGTTGATGAAAAATGCTGCTGAAAAAGACGATAACAGCTCTTTTAAGGCTTAGTTAACACTTTATGAAGTATCATCGTTGATTTTAATTAGCTATATACACCGAAAGATTTTATCTCCTTTTCGAAGTGCTTTTGTTATCGCACTATCTGTTTCACGAGCTATAATGGACGAATTTCTAGACAATCGTATTCTTCTCCTTATCTTTGAGCAGGTGTGTGAAGGACATGTTTCTTGTTTTTCGATGATATGATGACGACAACTATTGGAGGACACATTTTGTACTGTTTACGAAAAGTTGTCGCGCTAAACCGAACGTGTTTGATATCACACTTGGCGTGTTATCGTAACACACGTTGTGTGCAGTCGGGAACATGATTCTGAGCCGTATGAGAGTCAAAATGAAGCACCCTGTATATATTTTCGGTCAACCATCTAAAACAAAAAATGTCTTCATATTAAGCATGAAAATTCATACATTATCCAGTCAGATGTTGATATAAACAATTTCTATTAAACTAAGTTCTTGCTTATGCACTCCAATCTTAATTGAACGATTTTTTTTAGTCCGCTTGGCTAAAAAGTTAATATTAAGATTTTTCTTCCTCTTTTCCTTCCTCTTCTTTATCCTCTCTGTTTGATTTGATACAAATAAGTTCAGTTAGAATGATAAAGCAGTACTTTCACAAACTTTTCATTAATAAGTTCAAGGAAGAGAAAACTACAATAGGATTCGTGTGATAGTTCAGGGTTGTGTGAAGCCTGAAGGCTAAATCAAGATTGGCTGAAAGTTTTCAGAATATTATCACACTTTTCATTAACAAGTTCAGGGAAGAGAAAACTACAATAGGATTCGTGTAATAGTTCAGGGTTGTCTTGGGTACAGATGCGCTGAATTCAAAGCCTAAAGGCTAAATCAAGATTGGCTGAAAGTTTTCAGAATGTTATCACACTTTCAGCTTGAATCATTTAGCAAAGTCTGAAGATCTTTTAAGGTAAAAGGACATCGAGGTAAATCTCGTCAGTGGCAACTGAACGCCACAAATTTTCAACGGAAAAATTTAAAGTAATTAAGTTTCGAAATGAGAATTTAAATCAGCAGGAAAGATTCTAGCATTTTTCATTTCTGTGATTGATGGTGGACGTAGACTTAAAATGACTGTCGTCAGAATATCACTGAAAGATAAAACACTGACGTGTTCCTTATTTTAGATCCCTCATTCAGGGAGATCTGGTGTTTTGCAATCAGACACCCACTCAAAGATAAAGAGAAGAACACGAATGTCTATCATCGTCCATTATAGCCCGTTGAAACTGATACCGCAATAAGCCCTTAAAAGAAAAGACATTGAGATATCATTCGATATGTATCAAGCTAAATCGATCGCGACACGTCAAAAAGTGTTAACTGAGCTTTAAGAAAGAGCTGTTGTCGTATTGAGTAGTATTTTTCCACGACAACTCACCGCAGATACAAGGCAGAAGCTGGTGTCGATACTCGGCTCTTAATCTCTGTGAGTAAATCTTAACTCTGAACAGACGTGGCTGTTCGATCTTTGAATATCAATGTAGGTAAAATTGGATCGGGTCCAACGTAGGTCAGACCATAAGTAAAATGTTTAGCTTTATTTTCCTTCCGGGCTTCTGTTTGATACACGCATATTTTGTAGCTTTTACACTTTAAAAACAAGAATATTCTCTATGATCAAAGATAAAACTTGTCAGAGACTGTTCCGAAAAATATCAAAATTATTGGCATAATCCACACGAAACATGAAAAGTTTTAATTTTTCTCGAAATTCTCGACATCAAACAAAAAATGTTCTTACGTCCATGATTGATATAATTTCTTATTTTGAGGGAAGAAAACCCCAAACACAATTTTAGAAGTTCTGGAAATCCAACTTAGAGAGATTACTTTGCCATTCAACTCCTGCACGTAACACTACAAATCAAATTTTGCAGTTGAAAAGTAGAGACACGTAAATTTTTATTCAAGTGACTTGAAATTCAAGTCTCTTTTACGATCATTGTTGATAACATCGCAACAGAGGGTGGGGAAGGGTAAAACAGGTAAATACTCACCGAGAGTAAGTGAATCAAATAAGTTTTTTATTTCCAGATGTCAAATACGTGTTTACTTGAAGCTCCAATGATAAAATCAGTCGCACATGTATGTACTTCTTCATCATTGGGATATGCGTAGTCATTTCTGATACGGATCGCCTATCTCAATGTATCTTTCTTTTGAGAAGCTTGTAGGTTTAGCAAGACCCAAACTTCATCGCAGGTAGTCCAGAGAACGTACATTCTGAAGTAAAGTATTTTTCGTTTTATCTCGTGCATGGGATAAATTTTGGGCTCCCATGGAATCGAACCCCAGATATTGGGATTCTGTGATCCCTTGTTGTACTACTGAGCTACAAAGATTCTATGTTGAACAAGACCTTTAGAAGGGGAATATTGTGCGTATGATGAAGCTATTTTACAGTTTCTTAATGCTTGGTTACCAGCCGGTAAAACGAGATGTTAGTTATGCAAAATGGCAACGAATGTAGGGATGTACTCGACGACTCACGAAAGCGTTACCGTTGCCAGTGGGCAGAGATAGGAAAATACTGACCGGGTAAAGAACCAATCAGATGGCGTCTTGTTAATGAACGCTCCAAAATTGGGATGGGCTCAGCGTGGGTCAATCCACAACGAAAACTTTTTTATCACAACCCTTTGAAATGTAGTCGTTTGTTCCTTCTGGAAATTTGTACTTTTAAATAAAACTTGTTAGTGGCAGTTCGGAAAAAAATATTAAAATTATTGGTATCATCTATAAAAAACATGAGAATACATAATTTTCCTCGAATTTGTCAACATCAAATAAAAACGCTCCAGGGTCGACTTCGTTAAAATCTGCTAATTTTGCAGGAAAACCGAGAAAAATCTTAGATGTTCTGGAAATCCAAGGCATCTAATCTGTAGTGTCGTAGCTTTTAGAATGCATTCATCATGGGAATAGACCGGTACGACTGCAGGACTGTATTGTAAATGATTCTTTTCAAGCTAGAGTTGCAAATTCGATTCCCGGGTTGATTCACGCGCATGCGATAAACACCAAACCAAATAGGATCTTTTCTTTCTTTATTCCTTTTCCTATTCCTTGGGGCGTTAATATATCGAAGCGGTCAACTGAAATTATTACGTAAAGAAATCACCTAAGTATTGTGATCATAGCTTAAGAATAATCTCGATTTTGGAAACGAGCACGCGTCAGTTAAAGGAACCAAAAGAAAGGCAAAAACGAGCGATAAATTTCGCTTTGAGTAACGACTACGAGCTAGATAACATAATCAAAAAACAAGTTATTGCTTAACAACGTTCGCGGGTCTTGATTACCTTAGCGAGGATTACAGTCTAACTTGTCTTCTATTCAAAAACGATCTTGATCACACGCGGGGTCTTATCTTGAACTGAAACGTTAACTATAATATTCTGTCTAAAAAGAACTAATCACGGGGGCGTCAACCTAACCAGAAAATATTTCGCAGCTTTTCTCGGAAGCGGTAACACTTAGCTTCAACGGAAGCAGTTACATGTATGTTAACTACGAATAGAAATATTGTGAAATGTATTTAAGTGAGGTGAATATTGATTAAAGTGTGTTGTAAGTTGTAACCGTATAACCGGAATATTGATAGACTTTACATAATTACTTCACTTTTCCTTTCACCTTCAGCGCGGAACACTACTTATAAAATCATATTGAAGGCATTTCAAGAGAGCATCGTCATCAAACGGCATGTTATGGAAGGCGGCACGTTTGCCTGGTTTGCCCTTGGTGACTCATACTGAAATCTTCAGTCCTATCTCATCGACAACAGATTGTGGACGACCTCAATAAGTTCTGACAAACCCCTTTAGCTGAAGCCACGTAAACAACATCCAATTTAATCTTTCTGGGACCAAGGTTATGCGCAAGAAGAGGCCTTTACTTCAAGATTATTTTTCCGATAAGTTACTGTGTGTGCTTAAGCAGAAGAATCTGTGTGAAGTTATTTCGAACAACCTTACGTGGGAATTCCGCTTGAACCCTATTACCACAAAAGAAAACAAACTTTTTGGTCTGCTGATATCTGAATTATACTTGTATAATTTTTCACATATTTTCAAATTTCCATTACCCTGGTTAGGCGTGTCGCATGAGTCTCAGTGCCCCGTTCACGTCTTTCCCATATGTGCTTCTAGTTCCTACAACTTAATGTATCTATTTGTTATTATCAGGTTACTACAAGTCTTTCATTACCATCCATCTTACCATCCATCTCTGCTTCACGTTCCACCCTCGGAGAGGGCCATGACTCCGCCGCCGCCAAAGTGAACAACAACGGGGTGACGTACTTCATTTCCTTCGAAACGTTATCAAAAGTAGAAATCAGAGCGTCGTCAATGCAGCTTGTCGATAATCGAGAAGTAATTACATAGACATTTCTCAGGTCTATGCTACATATAAAGCAAATAGGTGATATTAAAACTCCAAAACTCTTTAGGATACTTTGCAACTGAGTGTCGTAACACCGAAAACCTAAGAATTTGAGTTTATGAACTGAGAAAATGCAGCAGCACTTACTTTCGGCTCAACCGGCTCTTTTTAAGTCCACACTGTCCCATGTCATCAGTCCGATTACACACACTTGTAAGATGACTGGCCAAGTCGAAAATCATCCGCCAATAAAACTCAACTACCTAACCAGCGCTAGCCAATCACAATGAATTAAACGTCATAATTAGCTGGTGAGCAGGTTGAGAGGTCCACATTGAAAACAGGCATGGTCAAAATTAACTGCATCAATCGTTCAGTTATATTCTCCTTTGATTTTTACAAGCATATGTGCTCTTATATTGCATTTTTCAGTGTTTCGTTGCTCACATTTTGGTATTGACACAATCAATCAGTAACGGAACTAAAAATTATGTGGTAAAATCTAGGGGCGATCGTGCGTGCATGTGACTTCGAATCACTTGACTGA